TAAAAGTATAATTTAAATAACACAATAATCAAAACTTCCATTTTAATTTATAAACTACACATGTTTTTATTTTTTTAAGCAAGTTTTCTTTGAGAGCGCACTATAATTTTTATAAGATTTTACTATAACATTTTTCAATTTTGTTTTAAAAGAAAGCCGCGAAAATAAAAATGCTTAAAAAATGCAAAGTAAAATAGTTTCTTAGTCTGTTAACCCTTCTGATGAATTCTCATGTGATCGTTTAAGAGCATAATTTGGATAAATAATAATTTTTGTCTTGATCGATAAATGTTTTCAATTACATACATTTAAAGGTAACTTTGCCTTTGCAATTTAAGTTTATTCGAAAAATCTGGTCTAAAAAATTATGCCGATTATAAATAAATTACGATGGATCATGCAAGGTCGTGGAAACATGTACCAACCGGATTGGTACCAGGCGAATTTAAAAGTAGAACAAGTCAATTTCAAGTTAACATCCACAATTTCAATCTGAATTATGAATTATTATGGATAAATTTTATGTGTAGCTCAATAAAACTATAGTTTCAAATCATCAAATTGTAACTTTCGTAAATTCTGCTGTAAAAAGGAAGCAGAGAACTTCATTGGGGGCCTTCAAGTATTATGTAAGTAGACATTCACTGATTTTAGATCCCCTCCACCCTCGTATAAGCGAAAATAAGAAAATTGAAACCCCTAAGACGAAGATAAGAATGTTTTCAATGCTTTATGTTAAATGTTAAAATTAATATTTTGGTAATCCATTAAAAAGTAAGAACTTTTGCCTGTGTAAAAAAAATTAAATATCACTCGAATGCGTATCTAAGTCTAAAAGTTCTGTACACAAGAATCACCCCCGTTCGTAATCACCTATATACTAACATTATTATACTTAGGTACTTATTATAATGTTTATGAATATTACTTTGAAAACATTTTCATTATTTTGTAATTTATTTATAACAGCCTCGCTCCGTTTAATATCAAAAGAAAAAATTGCACCCTTCCCTCCTAAATATATACATATATTTTTGAGATTTTACCATTCGTACGAAATTCGTTACACTGTAACTCATTTTTTAATTAAAAGGGCTTTTCAAAGTACTTTTTGTTTTGTAATACTACGGAAACAAGCCAATCCCTCGTTCTAAGAATGACGTCTACTATACCGGATATCACGTTACTACTTATATATACATACATATATATAATGAAACACCCCGTGACCATTGTAATACGATTCATATTATTTTCGTCAGCAGTTGCTTTAAATAAATATATAAATAGGAAGTCTTTTGTGGCACCACTATCACAAAACATTTTATTTTTAAACAAATAATAAATTGAAAATTATAATTATAATTTGCTGGAATTTTTCAATTTGCTTTATAATGTATATTTGCAAATTATGGTAGGCACTTGTTCAAGCAACAAATTTAATAATTTATAAGTACGTTTTCTGTTCAATTAATAATAATCTGTGTGCCCTACATTTCAAGGAACTAGTCTTCGTTTAATTATTTGCTGAAGTGAATCGTGCTGTGGATTTATAAGGCNAACTACACTTCTTAATTAATATAAAATTAAACATAAAAAGCGAAAAGGATGAAATAAGCATAATAAAGGGGAGATATCAAACTAGCCGCTTATTAAGCTAACAAGTTAATAGGATAATAGCAGACTGTGTTAACGAAATAAATGGAAAGATTTTTTGAGTGTTGAGAGCAAAATGGGATCGTTATCCCTTTTGATGGCGTAAGTGTATGTACAGGGTCGTATTTGATAAATTTCTGCTTTGTGAGTATGATCAATTTAAACCGATTAAAATTTTTACAGTTAATTTTTGATATTTTATCTACTCATAAAAATTAGATTTTAAGATTGCCAAACATTTATTACGCATACAAAAATGATTCTTAATAAATAATGACGTGGCTTGTTTTAATGGGGAAAAATCGCATAACAGGATATTTAATTATGCAAAAAAGAGTCTGTAATTTTTGCTTATTATAATTTCAATTGTTTAGCTTCCATTGCATGTTCCCGCATCATTCTTAGTCTGATTGCTTGGTCGCCATATTGCTTTACACCACACCGGGAATTTCCCAATTTAGTTTCAGTAAAAACAAATAAACTCCATAAAATAAACGTTAGACCGATTGTGTCTACGGTTGCAGTCCGGATTACCTGGATCCTAGTAATCTAGATTACTAAATACCAAATGCTAAAGTGCGATAGTTCAATTGTATTTGGTATTTGGATCACAAGATAATCCGAATTACCGAGAATTCAAACTAGTGAGTCTTCACTATAATATACATTTTATCGGATGTGCATCTATCTGGGCTCGACAGTTTTCGATTTTCAGATATTAATTTATAAGATAAATTAGATTTTACCGGCGGCTTCGCTCGCGTTGATGCCCTAGTGACGACCACATAATACTAATTTTTTTTTCCCTCGGGAACAGCATTTCTTGTTCTGGATAAAAGGTACCCTACATCCTTTTCTGTACCTCTCACAATGTCTACAAAATTTCATGTTAATCGATCGAATAGTTAGGGCGTGAAATCGATCACACAAGACTAATTTTTTTATCCCTCTGGAACACTTTTTTTTATATAAAAAACTCACAGACAAACAAACTCACATTCTCATTAATAATATTAGTTAGGCTGTTTTAATTAATAGAGTAAAACTATGCTTTCGATAAACTAACGGTATCAAAATATTAAGCGCAATTTATGATCTTTCATTCAAGAAGCATCGTGGGTATTATAGGACTTTATTAAGATAATTTATTAGAAATTATTCAGATGAAGCGAAAATATTCCAGTTGTTAATTTTAAAATGTCTAAATCAAAAAAAAGTGTAATATGAAATTTTCTGTCCGTTGGGTGTAATAATGTCCTTATAATTTTACATACATATCAAAGGAAGTTGAAAAAAGGTAATAAACCGCAGTCAATGGACAATCTACCCTTGATTTTGGAACAATCCTTTACCCCCCATGAAGTAGTAGTGATTATAACAACACTTAGAACCCTTGTTTCTTTGAGTACACCCCTATGCATACATATATATATATATTGTTCTAAAACCGCTCAGTCCTTGTTTCTTTTTTTATCTTTCTCTCTCTCCCGTTTCCTGCTGCAGGACTGCGTCGCGCCGTCTGGAATGAGAGGGAAAGTAAAATTTTGATGAAGGGAGAGTGGGAGGGCGTTCTCAAGCGCTTTACCGGTTACGTACGCAGAGCTTTTGCTCGTTCGTACCGATGTCGACTACCGAAGCAGCTTTGCCTATTACACACAACAATACTACCGCAACCTCAACACGGCAATAATTATTTTCATTCCGATGCTTCTCGCTATCATTACGGCACATAGAAGCTGCTGCGTCCCTCGTCCAATACTTCGTCCGGCGAGTTAAAAGAAAATCGTGTAGTGGAAAAGTGTCGTGCAAAAGTGATGGATTAACTAACACGTGCGGTAGTTGTAACACGAACAAATAGACAAGTAATGATACGATAAAGTTGTGCGAACTTTTCTTCTTTTAAAAACCTATTACAAGTTTTATTCAGTCTACGATTTAATAAAGGACCGGTAAGTTTTTTCAATAGATACTTATAGATACTTCAATAGATACTTATAACAGTGTCTACATGCGGTACCCTTAAGCGGATCCCCTCAAAAAAAACTTTATTAATACGTATTGTATAGTAAAATCATTTATCGTTGTTATTAAATTCAGTTTAATTTCATAAAAAAAAGCCCTTGGCGCTGTAACGCCCATAAACACTGGCGCCCCTAAACGGTGCATGATTTTACCTCCCCACCTCACCCCCTAAGACCCATGCAGGGTTCTGGTAATAATTATTATATGAAGAGAAGTAAGTTTTAATTTTTTGTTACTCTTTTGTGATACCTATATAATATTAAAAACGCATTTTAAAGAACTCATTCGTAATTAAACTATTTTCTAACCAAAAAGGTAAAGTACCTACATAATAGGTAGGCAATTCGTAATAAAAATAGAAAAAATAAGCATAAGCTTTTATTGAAAACTTTTGTTTTATCGTTCTAGAGGTTATCGATTCATGTTTAATTGGATTAATTGATGCAATAAAATTGTGTTTTTGAATATTTCAATTTTTATTCACTGGATAATTTAAAACACGTGTAAGTAGGTTACCTGTTTTGAGGAGATAGGTAGCAGATCGAGAAATAACTAATAACTATTTTGTTATTAGTAATGTGGAAGACTTAGGTACACAGACACTTATTACAAAGAAATCGTTAATAAAACCATAAGTTAATGTTAAGTATAAACGCAATTTTTTAATTGAAACGATACATTGTAGATTGAGAATAAAAAAAAATGAAGAGTAATAGATAAGCAACTCGATAAATTTTCTTTTGCCTTTTTTTTGTTAAAGGTTGTAGTATTTTATTTAATTACTTAGATTTCTAAAAAGTACAGTATTTCTTCTTGTAGTACCTTGTACCTAGCTTACAGATTTTTCGCTCTTTTTCACTTTTCATCTTAGTTTGTATTAAGGATGTTTGGGAGGTACAATCGGAGACAAGAGTACATAAAATTAGAAATTCGTGATTAATTAAGTTTTGCAGCATATCATGAGGTAAATAAATACTATCTATACTAAAAAAAAGTATTCGGTTTGAGAGAAAATTTGGAATTTGACCAAAAACTTTGAATAAAATAAGAAATAACGAATAATATGGAAAATTTTTAACTGACTTTTGGCAGTGAATATGCCTTGATTTCAACTTCGAAACAAAAAAATATTTAGTTTCAATCTCTATTAATAATGAGCGTAAAACTTTTTAATATGTTTAAATAATAATTAAAACTTTAAAATTGCATTTAATTCAGACAATTGTAAATATTATCGTTATATTATCAAGTAAAAACGAGATTTTAAGCTTATTTATCATTTTTTCCTCGATAACCATTTAGTGAATTTGAATAATCTTACGCTAAAGTGATTCTCCAGAGTTCAAGTTACTTATTATAAAAGTTTGAAATTTCTGGTAGCTTCTTTTCTGTTAATAAAAATAAATTTAATCAGTTCGGTTAACGAATCTTCATTAAGTGACGTGTAAAATTACAATTTTTTAAAATTTCAATAACTTTTTAACGGTTTATTGAATCGATTTGTAATTTTTACAGGAGTTTTAGAATTAAATGAGGAACGTTCTTCCAAATTTTTATTTGTCTCGTAGCATTTCGACATACCTCCCAAACATCCTTAAATGTTGTGTTTACTTTTCAGTAAAGCATGTGTGCACCATCGATGTACGATAAAAAGCAAAACAATTGAGTAACAAAGTAACGCAAGTCAAAGCACAGTATGTTTCCCTTTCGAGTTAATAAAGCGCTGTAATTTTTGTTAACTGCTTTGAACGTTTGGGCGAACATATGTTTTCGGCTTTTTCTCTTTTTCTGTGAAAGGCCCATTGCGGTTTCTTTATACATACGCGATGCACGCACATAAATAAAAATGCTGTTTTTAGAATGTTGGTCCCGTCGTCACAAACTAATTGTATCCGATACGCACTCAACATTCGTTTGTACTTATCAGATTTTAACATTTCACCATGTACTAATACCTGCTTATGTATGTAGGTATACATAATATTATGTACATACGATATTTTTAAGCGTACTTCCTCTCTTGTCTGTTAAAAAACTGTCATGTTTTAAAAAGAAACTTCCTTATTAATGCTCTATTTTTTTTGCTATTTTTAAAATGATACCGAGTATATGTAATAGGTAATAGATCTGTCAATAGTCTTAACTTAAAAGTCTACCCGGAAAAAGACTCTCAAGCAGAAGCGAAACGTCGGTGTTGGTTAGTATGTATCAGTAAACTATTCCCAACTATATTGTGGCTCTTTTCTATCACATTATGTTACAAAGGGTAGAAATGGAATCTATCTCAACAGCGAGGATAATTTCAAATTATTTATATCAAAGGTGAACAAAATAATATATTGAAAAGGAAAAAAAAAAACAAATCGTTTTCGTCACTCCAAAATCTAAATGTTGCTAAAGTTTAGATTGGAGAATAGGATACAAGGAAATTTTAATATTTTAGGGCGATTTTTGAGCCATGTGTTTACCATTGACAAATGCATCGAAAATGATTCTCCTTCTTGTGGTTTTTGTTTTCTGTTTTCAATGCGTTTTAATTAATGTATCTACTCTCTTTCGAGGACATTGCTTTGGCACAATTATGAAAATTCAAAAATGCTTAGAAAAGTCAGTAGCCATTATCGATGTATGTATTTTCAAATGTGACGCCGAAAAAGCTTATCCATTCCGATGAAATTACTAGATATCCTAACTTCAAAACCAAACAAGTCAAAGTAGTATCAATCGAATTTTTTAGTTACGATATATCGGAAAATGTATAAAAGATAAAAGAATAATCTCTTAGTTATCTTATCCTTCAATTTCATGTGCTCACAAAAGATCGAAAATATTTTTGCAATTTGAGATTAGAATATTTCAGAATTCAGATGTGCCGCAAAATACATCGGAAAATAGATATGGTCTTAATTTCGAGATCCTCCCTGACCTATATATTTATCGGGAAAAATCTAAATTAAATCAATATGACTCACGATCAGTCGATAAATCGACCAATATGTTCGAATCGATTAATCTTGCGTCTTCTTAAAATAAAGTTGTGATAAAGATTTAACGATAGTAATCAGGCTCAAAAGTATAATCTATAAATAATGAGGGTAGCTACCTGCAGTAAGTACTTGCTGTGTACGTGTCTGTTATAATCATTCAGTCTTACCTAGATTTCTTTTATTACAAATGTATTTGATAAGGTCCTACCTGTCTATTACAATACCTGGTTGTTGGTGATATAAATGATGTATTGCTGCAAGCTGCTTAAGAACGTTTCGTCTTAATAAGTCAATTTTATTGCAGGGGAATTTTCAACCGAAAGGGATTAACCCATTGTATGTATTATAATAAGTTATAAGTTGAGTTAAAGCTAAAGTTCGAGATAAAATTATAAACTAAACTCTGAACCATCTAAAGTGGCGATTGAAGTAATAAAACTTAAAGCTTATTTTGTCGAATGGCTAATATCCGTAGAAATAAGGAATATGGACCGAATTTTATTTAGTGACAATATTGTACTATCTGCGCATCTATATTTCCATAAATCAGAATAGTGGACTTCGTTTGAATACAACTTTCGAAAGTTTTTAAACTATTTTGAGCTTTATAGGCACAGGTACATAACAGAATACAAAACGTGTTTTGTTTTATTGGTGCCACAAAGTTGTAATTGCACTTAGGCATGAGCAAAGGCGGACTATTGTTCTAGCTTTAGTGCATGAGCCGTCACTTTAGATGGCCCAGAGTTTAGGCATGAATTCTTATTCTAGGTTTTTAAATAGATAAATAATCTGTGCAGTAGGGTGCGCTATGAAAAGCATTTTTTCCTCATTTTTATTCGGTAAATAGTCGACTGATGCCATAAATATTAAACGCCAGAGAGGTATAATGTTTAAACTCGCGCTTATTTCATTACTGAGATATAGTTTTGAAAGACTAAACTAGTTACCATACAAATATTCTTCAAATTTGCTCAAAGAATCATTATTTTCTTATGCAGAGGGTAGCGCAGAGTCGAGTTGCTTTCAATAAAAAGAAGTCACTTCTGTGGTCGCGAGTGGTTAATTTAGAAATTCGAAAAAAGTTGTTAAAGGTGTATGTTTGGAGCGAGGCTCTGTACGGGTGCGAAACATGGATAGTGGGCGCGGCGGAAAAGAAAAGGTTGGAAGCGTTCGAAATGTGGTGTTATAGGCGGATGATGAGGATATCGTGGGTAGAAAAGGTTAGAAATGAAGAGGGATTGGAAAGAATAGGAGAACAGAGGACTCTATGGAAGTCAATAAGAAATAGGCGAGATAGGTTAGTAGGACACCTTCTCAGGCATGAAGGTCTAGTTAGTGGCAGAAACGGAAGTTAGGAGGGTCACAGGTAGACCTAGATTAGATTACTGTTCGCAAATATGTAGTTAATAATATGGGTTGTTGTAGTTTTAGGGAAATGCGAAGATTAGCCCAGGATAGGAAAGAGTGGAGGTGCGTGTCTGATTCTCTGTAGAGACCTAAATTAACATTGTTGCGATATTTTAATTTCAAGCCATAAACAGAAATGTCGCAATGTCGTTATTGGTGTTAATTTAGAATTAGCCGAGCTCTATTTTAATAATAGATTACAGTTTCTTATTATCCAAATAAATAAGAGAAAGAGGTTGAACGAGCATAACGAGGACATTTGCTTGTCAATTTTCTAATGTGCTTTAATTAATACATTGTCTGTCTCGTAAATTTATTCTTATAAGTAGAGATGAACCGGATAGTGGTTTTGTCGGGTCCCAGATAACCGAGTACCCAGCCGGATACCCGGTAAAAACTACCCTCACCGACACAGCGTCCTAAACCACTCAAAAAGTTGTTTAAACACTAAACCAATGAATTTTTAATTCCTGGTAGGCGGTTTTTAAACGAGAGGGTTGAGTTAAAATCGTTGAAATTAACATATAATG